AGTTGTTCGAACGAGCTTCTTTCCTTAGTTTTCCCGTGGCGCTGTAGGCAGTTTCACACAACACCGCAAAATAACATAAAACCAAAACATTAGCCTGAAAACTCGATTCATTAACATAAATAGCCTCGACAGATTGCGGACTTCCTATGGCAACAAATATCTAAACTGTTAGATGTATACAAACACTTTCTAAGATCAATGCTTAAAAATGACATTGAGAGAATGACAGCCTATGGTATCTGTCTATATTTCTGAGATGTAATTATGTAAACTATTTACATTATTCGGACTATTGTCGCCATATTTATTACATTAAAAATGGCCGTTGTACGCTCCGCCTGAAGAACCACCTGAAGAAGGCCGGAGCGTACAACGGCCGAAACGTTGTAATAAATATGGCGACAAAGATGAGGACAATACTCAGAATAATGTAAATAGTGACAGCCTATGGGTTATGCGAAGAACACTCGAACCGTGTGGGCTGGCGCTACAGAATCACAAAGAGCAATTTTTGATATCAGCAAATCATGTCCTGCTGCTATTCTCTATCTTTACAAGCGTCAGATCAGACCAAACATTGAGTATTGCTGCCATATTTGGTTCGGAGCTGCCTAATCCTCACTGAACAGCCTCGGCAGATTTCAAAAGCGCTTACGCGGCCTTGTGGGTGATGAATTATCCCCTACCTTGCGAACCTTTTTCCTGCAGAGGTAACGTTACTAGGTACTCACTAATCTATCGCTATTGTTTGGACGAGTTACAGTTTTAGTTCCACCACTGTAGAAGAGGTAGTTTCACCAAACATCGCAGATTGCAAATAAAATAAAATAAAATAAAAAATAATAAAATAAAACAAAATAAAAAATAACCTGAAAACTGGAATCATGTTCTGAAATAGTCTTGCCAGATCGAGATTTCAATATTCATGTCAGGTATGGCGCCAGACCTGTTCAGAAATATCGAAACTATCAACTGAATTACTAATAAAAAAAAAAGTACCAATTAGAAAAAGAAGTAATAATTAGAAAAAGAAATACTAATCAGAAAAAAAATAAGTTCCAGTCGAAAAGAGAAAAAAAAAGGCATAAATAAGCAGTAAAGAAAAAGAAGTACTAATCAAACAGAATGAAAAAGAAATACTATTCTTTTACAAAAATGTTCACCCCGTACAAGGTCCAAGAGACACTAGGGTTAGAGCATTACAGAAGAAGAGGCACAGTTTATGCGGATATGTATTGAAGATAACGCTTAAATCTGTACTTGAACAGTTTAAGATTAAAGCGATCGGGAAAGCATTCTCTTGGGAGTCGGTTCCACAAAGCAGCGGTTCGTGGGGGGGAACTGCTCGCGTTGAACTTATATCACCAATGGAATACGAAAGTGGTTCGTTACAATGTTTTTTTGTTTTTCTTTTTAAGGCAATTCACTCCACGCAAGGGGTTACAGAGTATTGAGAACAAGAGAAAGGAGGTGTGTTTAAGGAAAGGATACAGAGAAGAACGGGAAACAAGCTTAGGGTGTCAGATGACGATTGACATTACACTTGATTATTTGAAGATTGTAGTCATCGAGGAAGCAAGTAAGGGGAAGGGAGTTCCACAGATGGGAAGTGTAGGAGAAGAAGCTGTTTGAGTAGAGGAGACGGTTACATTTGACCGTTTTGACCGTGAAAGAGTGGGATCGAGATGCCAGCCTGGTAACCCGCTTAAATTCATGCAGTCTGGGAACCAGCAAAAGTAGCTCGTCGGAGCAGTTGCCGTGAAAATACTTGTAGAAGAGACAGAGGGAGGCCACGGCACGTCGCTTGAATAGCAATTGTGGACTAGATGCCAGATCAGGACCTATCATATTCGCCTCTGGATTTTGTCGAGGACCTCGAGACGTACAGCGGGAGCACCAGACTATATACAGTGTAACCCGGATATAAGAGAGTTGTCGGGACCGGAGAAGTCTCTTATATCCGGGTTTCTCTTATATCCGGGTTTGGACTATTTCATATACATTAACGCAGGCTCTAATTTGGGACCGGAGAAAATCTCTCTTATATCCGGGTTTCTCTTATATCCGGGTTTTGTCTATTTTATATACATTAACACAGGCTCTAATTTGGGACAGGATAAAATCTCTCTTATATCCGGGTTTCTCTTATATCCGGGTCTCTTATATCCGGGTTACACTGTATGACAGAAATATTCCATGCAAGGACGGATGGTTGATTCATAGATTTGACTCAAACGAGAAAAAAATTTCTGGCACGACACAGAGAACCAACTTTCCTTGCGGTAGATGAAGCCATTGACTGAATGTATTTATTTCACCTCATGTCAGGGGACAGCGTGAGACCAAGCAGGCGTAACGAGATGCTGTTAAGGAGTTCGGAATCAGCCATTCATGTGCCCGGCATTTGCGGCTCTTAGGCTTGGAGGTTAGACCTAGTGGAACTAAAGAATGCAGTTCGTCCGGGCACTTTCCATGGAAATAGCAACAGAGCAGCGAGAGGCTTGCGAAGTTTCGTCTATGAGGAAGGGTTTGCAAGGTGGAAAATAATTCATCACCCAGAAGGACGTGAAGGCACTTTAAAGCCAAATTTCAGCTCATATATGGTAGTACTTCATTTTCGGCCTGATCTGGCTCTTGGTAGGTAGAGGATGGCAGGAGGGTCTAGGTACTTACTGGTACAGGGAATCTTTAGCGATGGATCGTATATACAAGTTTCACTTGAGGCATGTGTTGAGTTTAGGTCCCAAGAGGTTTTAAACTTTATTGGGGACTCCCTCTTGAAACATTTGTCTATCGTGATCGGAAATTTTTTGGGTAGGCTCATGTTGGAGTCTCACTAGTTTGGTTTAAAAAAAAATGGAGGACATATTGAGTTGGTAAAATGTTTCTTTTGGTTTATTAATAAGCGAATGAACTCAGTAATTACAAATACGCAAGATAACAAAGCCACTAACAAAAATGGAGGAACTGAGTGTGAAAAAAAATCGCTAATAATAAAAGAACAGAAATTAAGAGGCCTAAATAAAACGATCAAATTTGACTGAAATGCAAACAGCCGGAAGAATGTTTCACAAGAGAGATGTGAGAGTAAGGGCATATTTATCCATCTCACCTGTAAAATGACGAGACCTTGCCGCCATTCTAGTACTGCGCTTAAAATCATAGAGTCCAGGTACTATAGAGGAAAGTAATATTTATTTTGCAAATACAAAAATGTGGCGCAAGACCAAAAAGAGGAAATGGGGGGAAGAATGGTCTTCAATCTGTCTTATCTTAAACTTAGCTAGCCACAATTAGTGAACCAAACATACGCCAATATTCCAAACACTAAAACAACACATTCTTGCTTACCAGTCTCACAACAGTAGCATAATACATCAAAGTCTCTATGAAATCCTAATTAGTTCTCATATTTACTACTAGCAGCATGGCCCGGCGTTGCCCGTGCTTGATTCAAAAATTGTACGACTCATACAGCAATCGCTATCACTTGACTTAAAATATTTTTGCCCTTCTTTTTTTAAAGGAGTGCCCTTTGTTGTACTGATGTTGCCACACGCCTTACTTCTTGTCTATCTCACACTGCGAATTTTTTCGAAGCTCTATACTAAACATTAAATCTGTTACGAAAAAAGAACTAAACAAAATGAACACAAAACGATCAGCTTTAAAAAGGACTCATAACTGGAAAAACCGAATGAAAAAGAATGTTAACAACAAATACTTTTTCACACCCAACCCAGTTCTGCGGAATCAGAATCAACGTTGAGTTTAAGCAAACGAATCAGCCAATTGGAGATAAAGTGCCATGCAGATTTAAATTTTTCCCACTTGTGACGAATGCAGCTATCGATTTTTTTTTGCATGCTAGCATGCTAGTTAACATTCGTGTCAGTCAGCTGTTGGCTCCCACGCTGGCCAATAGAATCTTCCTGCCTATTCGTGGCAGCCAGCTATTGGCTCTCACTCTGGCCAGTAGAAAATGACCGCAAACTACATGAAAACTGCCGTAGAAGCATGAAAAATCAATTATTTTCATTATCGATGGGAGTTGGGAAATGCAATGTCGGTCTTGGCCTTCTCGCTAACTTGGAGCATGTGCATGTAAACTTTCGTGCAAATCCGTCGAAAATTGCGGCCGTGCATTCGTTACACACACACACACACACACATCCTGCCTTTTATAGATAGAGATAAAGGAAAGTTCATCAAAAAAAATTAGAAAGGACACAGGGAAGCTACATTACGGTGTTGGGAAAGTGACTGAATCCGAGATACCAGGTTAGGACCAATGACATTGCAGATTTTTCTTTTGGATTTTATCAAGAATCTCTTCATATGTAGCAGGAGCACAAGACCAGATATGGCAGCAATATTCAAATTAAGGACGAATAAAAATGTAAGATAGATTATGGCAAAGAAAAATTGTCAATAACGACATAGCGAACCGACTTTTTAGCTGCAGACTTAAAAATTGATTCAGGCTAATCCTTCCACTTCATGTTAACAGAAAAAGTTAACCCGAGAAGGCGCAACAAGTCACTCTCCTGGTGCTTCGCATCCGCCATGTTGATGGAATTCAGAAAGGCTTCTCTCAGACGATTACTGGAGAGCAGTTTCGTTTTGGAGGTGGTTAAAGAAGGAAGATATATTAGTCTGAAAGAGGAAGAATAAAGTTCACACAAGAATAGAGAAAGGTTTTGTACTCGTCTGAAAGAAGCGGTGAAAAGTAGAAAAGATGAAGTTAGCAACAGACAGGGTGTTTACCGATGTCACGTCTTTATTTCTCTTTGAAGCAATGGGGTTATTTCTTATTCATTCTTGTTTATAATTCTTCAACTTAATTCCTGCTTGCATTTCATTCTTCATCTATCGTAACCATATTCGTTTCTTTCTTTATCCTTTTGCTATCAACTTCATTTTTTTTTTCTTAATCAAGTACACTTTTTCATTCTGGAGGTTCTTTCATTTTCAGTCTTGACTGCATTTCTTTTTACTCTTTATAACTGCCATGTTTCACCCCCCTCCCCATTTCGTCTATAATTTGTACTTGTCTTTGCATTCTTCGAAGAGATAGATAGATAGATAGATAGAGAGAGAGAGAGAGAGAGAGAGAGAGAGAGAAAAGAAGTAGAAAGAAAGGCACCAGTACAAAGAAAGATACGAAGAGATTTGGATTGAAAGAAAGAAAGAAATTTACAGATAGATAGATAGATAGATAGATAGATAGATAGAATGGAAAAATAGAGAGAGAAAGGAAATAAAGGCTTTAATAGAAAGAATAGATAGATAGATAGATAGATAGATAGATAGATTTTGAAAAGAGATAGATAGATAGATAGATAGATAGATAGATAGATAGATAGATAGATAGATAGATAGATAGAAAAAGAAAGGCACTAGTACAAAAAAAAGAAAAAAAGGATACGAAATGTGTTTGAAAATGAAAAATATATATATATATATATATATATATATATATATATATATATATAGATATAGATAGAAAGATAGATAGATAGATAGATAGATAGATCTGCTGAAGAACTAAAAATATTGGAAAAAAAATTAACCACAAAAAAAAAAACAGAAATATTAGAATGCAAGTCCACAAAAAAAGCATGTTATAACAAAACGTTTGAAATGACCTCAAGGTTACACCAAACTATTAACAAATAAATGACAATCAAAAACAACAAACTGAGATTAAAAACTCACCAACCTATGCAACAACAAGTGGAAATATATCGGAAAATATTAATCTAATAGAAAATTTATCGGATATAACACTTTCCAATACAGAACGAGAAAATCTCTCAGCTTCGATTTAAAATTTACCACTGGAATCCGCAAAGGACACATAGTAGACACTATAATAAAAAAAATCACAAACAAAACGATTTCGAGTTCAACAAAGTTTTTATTCAAGGCAGAATCACTACTACTATAAAAAAAAACCAACACCGAATATACAATACCACTGAGACAACTAAATGCACTAAAGAACCTAGTGAGAAATAAGGGAATCCACATTACTCCCTCTGACAAGAAAGGGGGATTGTGATTATGAACAAGATTACATACATAGAAAAAATTGACACACTAACTGTTGTGGATTCCGAGATGAAATTCGGTCTCCAATGAATGACAAACGCAAGAATTAAATATAAGAAATTAAATGTATTTATACAATAATACAATGGGTAATACTGTTAGTAAATCCAGGAACGCGGTTAGTTTGTTATATATATATATATATATATATATATATATATATATATATATATTTATATATATATATATATATATATAGTCTCGAAGTAGGACTTCCTTAGAGTCTACGTGCTTGTAACTGTGACTTCTACAAGCGGTTACCTCACACTATTACTCTACCTCCAACTCAATCACAATCTCTGCTCACTTTCTCTATATATATTCTGACTGACTCTGGGTATTTAACGGCAACAGTCTAAGTAACACTCTGGTCGAGTCCACTTATATGAAAAAGGGGAGGACCCCATGACACTAACTCAACGATACCGACACATGCGAAAAAATAAACGAACAAAAAATGACTACTGAAACACAAAAATTCAACAAGGAAATCAGGAAACTAATTCAAAATATAAACAAATCGTAGTATAGACTCATAGAATATCATAATCTATTCCTATCATAACCAAGAAACTAAAATCCGGAATGATCATTGGATTCTGTTTAAGAGCACTTCGAATTTGCAGCCCTCAATATTTACATGAAATGGAGAAATATATTAGAAATATATTCAAGACCCTTCAATACTCTGTTTCATTTTCAATGCGAAACAAAAAAAGCTCATGAAATATTCCAAAACAGAAATGCTGTCCTTCCGGTTTGAAAATTCAACAAATTCAAAAAATAAATTATTCTATCCATTTAACTTATAAAGAAAAAACATCCGAAAAGAATTTATCTAAACTCAACATAAAATTTGTCACAATTCAAATCAAAAAACAATCAAAGACTTAATCATCAAAAAAAACAAAACCATCAGCCAAAACTTGAAGGAAAAATTTACTCTATCAAATGCAAATTTGCCAGAATGAATAGATTGGAGAATTAAAAGAATTTTAAATAAAAAAAATTATATGAAATATAAAAGGTTTAATTTTAAATGACAACACATAAAAATGCATTGGGTTGTTCACTATAATGAAATATACTACAATGACAGACATAGGAAATGATTTTAAAATTAAAATAATCTAAAGACGAAAATAATAAAAAAATATTGATCGCCAGTTCAGCCACCTGTAAATTTGCGCCCAAATCTTACAATATATAACCATTTTGGTAAATATTTGTTGTCACAATGTTGGATATATTATTGCAAAGGCGATTCTACTGGTTTAATGTTATAATTTGGCTAGATTGAAAAAATATTCTTCCAAAAATATTCTTTCAAAAAATTTTGAAACTACCAGAGTCTCTCATTTCGTGCGTAGACGTGGCAACATCAACAAAAGCCCAGTCCGATGAAATCCTACTGGATGAAATGCGCCACAGAAACGTTTTCCAATTTTTCATAATTTTTTCTAAATACTGTTGATATATAAAATTATACGAAATAATCTATTGTTATATCATAGATAGATATATGAAGAAATTGTGAAAGATAGATTATCTAACTGGATAGATAGATAGATAATAGATAGATAGATAGATAGATAATAATATGAAGACCAACTTTAGAAGACATGAAGAAAAATTGATCACAAATAGAAATATAAACAGATAAATTTGATAATATGATAATGAAAATAGATTTTAAATATGAAGACTGAATCTTTTTCGATTAGATATGATAGATACAATAGAAAGATAGATTGAATAAAAAGATAGATAGATAGATAGATAGAAGATAGATAAATATTAAAAAATGATAGATAGATATGAAAAGATTTTGATAGATAGATAGATAATGATTGATAGATTTTTATTGAAGAAAATGTGACGAATAGATGAAAATGTGATACTTTGCGATGTGTGATAGATAGATAGATAATAGATAATAGATAAATTTTAGAATGGATATAAAACAGAATAGATAATTCTGAGATACATATTTGGACAACATTAATTTTAACAATCATCATTTATTTCATTTATTCATATAATTCATGTAGTCAAATGCATAATTCTACGAAATGAAAAAAATATAAACAAATTATTTAAAAAAAAAATACACAAGAAGAAGGATTTTTGAAAAGGAAGTAACGATCATTTAAATAAAATATATATTTCTCTATAATTTGGATTCGAAGCATTTTGACTAAACCAAATATAAAAAAAAAAAATTATTTTACAAACAACACACATAACATTTGATTATATCATTATATTGATATTGCAACATTCACCATCCACATATAATCATGTCAATAATTAGCAAGTCCGACATTATAAAAAAAGAATGTTATATATTAAAAGAGAGACGATTATAAAAGGCATGTTAAAAATAATTACAGCACTCAGAATGATCAAACGTATTGAAATGATAATAATTTATACAATGGAAATGAATTTACAACAAAAGTTTCATCATTTAATTAAAGAGATGATACTTGGCTTGGGAAAACAAAAGCAAAAATAACATTAAATTTAAATAAAATTTATATCCTATATAATATATATATATATATATATATATATATATATATATATTTTCTTTCATTTGAACTTTTTTAGAAAAAATGTTAAAATTTTTTATTTACGTATTGCCAGAAATGTAAGTTATTTTTTATTTATTCAACATTGACCTTAAGCAAGTAAACGTTTCGCCATTTAGATTTCAAGATGAAATTCACAGTTTCCCAGCTGAGGTTTGCAGCAGTCAATGAGGAATTTCAACAGCAGATAAAAGAATGCATTTTTACAGGAGGACGCGATTACAGGACGTAATTTTTAAATTTAAAAAAATTCCATCATTGTTTTTTAAATAGCATGTTTTAAGGTTTCAATTGCTATGAATAAAAATTTTCTTCCATCTTTCTTGGTTTTTTTATTTTTAAAAAGTTCTTAAATTTTTTCATTTTATTATATATATATATATATATATATATATATATATAATTTTTTACATTTTAACAGAGTTTTTTTTTTTTTTTAGAAAACGGAAAAAAAATATAAAAATTTAATCTTTATATATATTTTTTTTTTAAAGTACCGTATAAAATAGTTTGTTGAATTAGAGTGCGCCATCAAATTTGTTTTTTGTATTGTATTGGTTAGACCGCGTATCAAATGACAAACTAAAATTGACAAAAAAAAAGTCAAAAAATAATCAGCTTTTTTTTCACAAACAATGCGTTTTAAACATTTCAAGATTAACAAAAAACGAAAATCTTTTTAAACGGTGTTAAGATTCAAATTTTATATTTGCCATGATGTTCCATTGTTATATGAACCTATTCTGAATCAATTTTAATTCCTCCTGTTTTTTTGAAAATGGATAAAAACAACTCTATTTTTTCTGAGAGAATTTATTTCAATATAACAAGACTGATATCTCCCATGAAGACACAAATGGGTATTAATGATTAATGGCAATTTTGATGATGGACTTTATTTAAAGAATAAAATTGCTGTTTTTTTTATTTTTTGTTTGTTCTTTTTCTTTTTATTTCCTGAGATTTTTAGAATTTTGACCAACCTTCATGCTTCTGCAGTAAAGAAAAAAAAATCGATGGATAAATATCTTTAAATTTTGTTTAAATCATCCTTATTATAAAATTTATATGTTTGTGTATGTGTGTGTCTGTTTCTTTTATATATTTGGATTGAAAAAAAATTTTTAAATTTTCAAAAGTTTTACTTCACAGGACTACATAAAATTCCTATTTTTGGTTCTGACAGTGCCAAAAATTGGAAAAACACAATAATTTTTTTTTGAAAATAATTACAAAACACGATTAAGAAACGTTTATATAAAGATTTAAATATATAGAAAACTCATATTCAGGGGGGATAATATATAAATTTATTTCAAATTATCTCTCTTATAAGAAGCAAAAGCTTTGTAATAAAATGTTGTGTGTGTGTGTGTGTGTGTGTGTGTGTGTGTAAAAAATGTATGTTTTTATAATGGATCGGATTCCGACATTTTTCAAACCGATTTCAACAAAACTTCACAGGACTACATAAAATTACAGTTTGCGGTGGTTCTGACAGAAAAAGCTTTGGAAAAACACAATTGTTTTTCACGAAACCAATTTGAAAACACGATTAAGAAACGTCGCTGTCAAATGAAAGGGGGACAACTCATATCGATTTATACCTTTTAAAAAAAAGGAAGAATAAATTTTAACAAAATCCAAAGAGAATCTTTCTATGTGTGTTTTAAATGTGTGTGTTTTTTCCATATATGGGATCGGATTTTCCGACACACCAAACCGATTAAAAACAAAACTTCACTTTTTTTTTAATAGGTAGTGTTTCTTATTGTCTTGCACTTTTTTTCTTTATTTTTACATTCAAGGAAAAAAAAAAAAACCATTTACAAGACAATTTGAAATATATAATAAAATTTATTCAATCGGTAGACTCATAACGATTTGAAAACAATTTTTTGTTTGAGTTTTTATTTGACCAATACAAAAAAGGTAAAAAAAAAAACCGTAAGACATGCGTGTGAATCAACCTTAAACAATAATCTTTGTCAATTTTATTTTTCAGTCTTTATGATGGTCGATATTTGATCTATCTCTTACAAAGGAAATAATTTGTATATATATATAATGCTACTAATGTAATAAATATGATCAATTTATATATAATATTTTTATCATATATATATTGTTTTATATTTTTTTTAAATTTATATATTTGATTATTATTGACATTACAAATGCCAAATGGACATATCAATCTGTATAAAAAGATGAATGGTAACTTAAAAATCTCTTTAAAGAAATACACTACTCCGATTTGACGCGAATCAAAAAAATAAAAATCAATTATCTATTACAAAAAATTTAAAACTTACATTGGTAAATAATTATCCTAAAAATAACAGCACACCTGCTAAAATCAAACCTGAGAACGAACATTATTAACGATTACAAATCCCCCTTTGAGGAAGAGGGATTTTTTTTAAAGCATATATATATATATATATATATATATATATATATATATATATATATATATATATATATATATATATATATATATATATATATATATTGAACAATAAAAAAATATTAAAAAATTAAAATCTTCAGACACACTGGGTTGTATTAATATTCTTTTTTTTTTTATTATTATTTCATTTAGATTCCTCGACTAGTTTCGGCCAAAATGGCCATCATCAGGAGAAGAAATATTTCTGCTTGCTGGTAGCAGTAAACTACAGAAATGAATGTCTTGATGGAGAAAATGAACTTTTGTCTGTAGTTTTCATTTGTTTTTTTGTTTTTTTTTTTATCTTTTTAACATGAATCTTTTAACATTCCTTGTGTTGGTCAAACAGTCTCTTTTAAGTTGTTATTTGAGATAAGAACTGGATGGATCTATGCTTCCCTGAATTCCCTTGGTCAGTTTGACAGTTTTATTGATCCTGGAGAGGGGATGTGTCTCTGTTAAGTGTTTGTGTGTATGTTATTTGGTTCTTAGGGAGTGAGTGAGTATGATATGTGTAAGCGTGTGTATTGCTGTGGGTGTGTGTTATCATTTGGCTCATTAGGGAGTGAGTGAGTATGATATGCGTAAGTGTGTATATTCGTGTGGGTGCGTGTATAAGTGTAAGGCCTCAACACCTCTGTAAGCATGTCTGTCTTGTGTGGGTGATAAATGTGGGTAGGTTTTGATTTGTAGGGTTATATATTAATACTATCTATATATTGTTAAATTTATGATTTAGCCCAGCTGGATAGTGATTTTTAGACGTTGTATCCATTTATTTTCATGGAACTCTAAAATCTTTCTAATGTTATCTGCTCTGAACTTTTCTATTCTCTCAATTATAGTGAATTTGGCATGGGTTTTGAAATCGTGTTTTTCTAGGCGGAAATGTTGTTCTACAGGTAATAATTTTCATGGGAGTCGACTTAATTCGATTGCGATAATTATTAATTCTGTAGTGAAAGGGCCATTCAGATTTTCCTACATATTGTTTCTGGCATAGTGTGCATTCTAGGAGTTAAATTATGTTTTGACTTATAAGACTTAAATAGAATTGTGGTAGATTTTGAAAGTAGATTTAGTGATTGAGGTAGTGAATGAATTGGTATGTCTAATATGGTTATGTTTATAGGCTCCTTTTGTTGTTATGTCGTTCGGAAAATCCTCTTGTTTTTGTTCTTAGTTTATTACGGATTGCCTTGTTCCCTGAAATGTGGTTACTACCTATGATTTCTTTTAGGTTTTTAGGTTTGATATGCTAGAACTAAGGGGTTCCCATAAACAATTTTTTGGGTCTTGAATATATATATATATATATATATATATATATATATATATAATGGCAAGAATTACATCAGACCAGGAAACAATAGTATTTTAAAGTGCTCAATTAAACGTGTGAAAAAAAAAATCTTTTATTTTAAGTTTTATATATATATATATATATATATATATATATATATATTTTGTATGTAGGCAGAAAATTCTTTTTTAGGAAAATTTCTGATTGAATAAATTACAAACCTTATAATTCTGCTATGAAAAAAAAAAAGAATTATACATGGAAATAAGCATACATAACATTTGCAATTTATTCAATCAGACATATATATATATATATATATATATATATATATATATATATATATATATATATTGATCAATTCACCGATTCAAGCTAGGTGATAATGCCTGGAAAAAAAGACGAAGGCTTTAGAAGGAAAAGAGGAAGCCTAATTCTAAACAGGGAACAATATATGAACAGTTATTTCTGTTCAAAAGATGGAGGACGAGCCTAACTACTGTTATTGAGAAGATGAGAGACATTAACTGGAAATAAATAATTGTTAAATAAAATGTCAGGCGAAGACGTCAGAAGTATGGAGTTGAAATAGACTTCAGATGGAACCCAAAACCTAATCCTATACAAGAAACAGGGGATAAACCTGTACTCCTGTTCAAAAGACGGGGA